TGTGAGCCTTAATTAGTCACAACAATTAAAGGGAAAATATGTTTTGTCCTGGCTTCCCTTCTTTTTCTCAGAGATTCTTAGATTCCTAAGTGACATTCTTGCTTTTACTCTTTCTTTCCTATCATTACTTTCCTACTAAGCAGAAAGTATTAAATAAAAATAATTACATCAGCTAAGTCCCATTACCAATATCCCTCAATGGATTCCAAACCATGGCCGTCAAAGCTGACTGTGGTCTGGCTCCTTCCTGAATCTCCAACTTCATCTCCTAACTTCACCTTTCTCTCTGTTTTATCTATCCCATGCCAGTTCCTTTGCATTGCAACTGCCTGGTCCTTGGTTGGAAGTCCTTGTTGAGACAGTTGAATGGTAAATGCCTTCACTTTGTTCTGGTCTCTTGCCTAGAGTCTCCCACCTGCCAAAATGCTCTATAGCTTGCTTTTATCTATATAATCTAAAAATATCCTAATTGATAAGGTTATTGTCTTCTTTTGGGGGACTCTATATGCCCAATTCACCACCATGTAATTGGCATCAAAATAATATACCTTCATCATATTTATTTGTAGCAAAAAGATTCTTAAAGGGGAGGCAGAAGTAGAAACAAGAATCAATTTTTCTAGTAGGCCTGTGAAGTATCCTCTGCCCTCAAGATCCCCAATATCCAAAACCAGGTTTTTATCCAGTATAGACCCCCAATTTGAGGAAAATAACATCATTTCACACCAGAGTACGCAGTAGCCTGCATGTTCATTTCTTGTGATTTAAATCTGTGGACTACTGGTGCTGAAGGGAACCACAAAGATGATCTCCTGAGATTTTTTTCTTGCAAACAAGGCAATCAAGGACCAGAGAGAATGTCTTACAGTTGATGTGGCAAACCAGAACCCAGATCTATGCTTCGTGCAGGCAATCCTGTTCTGCATTGCTTCATACTGAATGTCTGTGTTTGCTTACATTATTTGGCATTATTTCTCACTAAGATGAATTTCTACTCATACTAAAAGGTAGTCTCCCCCGAATGTACATTTCATGAGGGAGATGGAAAACCATATACTGGCCAGAAGAGCTGGGCATTGAAGAAGACTATACTATCCCAAGGAGTTTGTATCCTGGGTAAAGACTGAATGGCAGGTATCTGGGTCTGGGGAAGACGTGGCATTTTCCTTTGGCCATGCTACCTTTTGTGTGCCTGCTCTCGATGCCTCAGTTTCCTCCTGTGAGGTGAGAGGAACATACTCTGAAGTACCCGATGAAAAAATGTTTTGTTATGTTAGGAGGAAGGTGTCATGATGACTACGGTGGGAGACAGAATTTCCACTGCAACCCAGACCATCTTCCCCTTCCAGCCTTTGGGACTTGGGAAATAGTCTCTGGGTGTTCACTTCAGAGGGCTCAGTTTGCAGACTTCTTAAGTGCTTGAATGCAAAGCCACTCTTAAAGCAAAAATAATTTGGTTCCCCTTTTCCCTCTCCTCTTTTTTTTTTTTTTGTGGGTCGTGGGCCTGAATTCTGGGCCTGGGCACTGCCCCTCAGCTCTTCAGCTCAAGGCTAGTGCTCGACCACTTGAGCCACAGCACCACTTCCGGCTTTTTCCGCTTATGTGGTGCTGAGGAATCGAACCTAGGGCCTCTGCATATAAGGCAAACACTTTACTACTGAGCTACCTTCCCAGCCCCTCCTCTCTTCTTTTAACTGGACCTTAGGTTCATAAAAACCAAAGGATTAAAAAACAAAACACAACAAAACCCTATAAGTCATCTTATCTATACCTCCACACTTCAACAGGAGTCTGAGAAGCAAATCAGAATTCACTAGTTCCCAATAGGTACTCATACAACTTCAGCTCAGGAGTTATTTTTGGCAAGAAACTTTTGAGGAGAGAAGAAAGAAAGGGACACAAGAGAAGAGTGATGCCTAGAGGCAGAGACTGTGATAGGTTTTGGCTAGGCAGAGTGACAAGGAAGGGAGAGTAGAGAGAAGGCAAGAAAGAGCTCCACTGAGCCAGAATGAAGTCAGAGCATGATTGGGGAAAGGGAAAAGAAAAGAGAAATGAGTATAGGAGGAGAGGAAAAAAAGACTCAAGAAGGACTGAGGGAGAAATCTTGGGAAGATACTTAGCAAAAGGTGAGGGAGGAGAGAATGAAAGAGCAGTGATATGGAAGGAGAGGAACAAGAGACAGGGAGGGCTGAAAAATAGATCCCAGGGACTGGGGAGGTGGCTCAGTGGTAGAGCGCTTGCCTTGCATGCATGAGGCCCTGGGTTCGATTCCTCAGCACCACATAAGAAAAAAGCCGGAAGTGGCACTGTGGCTCAAGTGGTAGAGCGCTAGCCTTGTGCTGAAGAGCTGAGGGATAGCACCCAGGCCCAGAATTCAGACCCCACAACCAGACCCAAAAAAAGGAAAAAAGAAAAATAGATTCCAGAAGAGCATAGTGCAAGATAGAAAGGATGTTCTTTGTTATTTCCTAAGCTCCTGTTTGATGAAAAACTTCTCCTATTCCACAGAGCAGCCAATGGCCAGGCCCTCGGTAGAGGCGATAGAAGATTAGGAAAGCTGGGCTAACATAGACACAAAATTCTCAATTAAGAGCCATAGAAGGTTCCAGTATGTATAGAGCAAATGACCTAGATTTCCTATAGTTTAGTTTTATGGTTCTAGAGTTACTGCTCTCCCAGACCATTCTAACATGTAAGTGACCTTTTCATGCTTTGCCTTGTGCTGTGCCTTGTCTGGAATTTTTAAGCCCTGGAGACTTGAATGGTCTTTACTATGTTTTCTCTCTTTGCCTTAATTTACAAACATAAAAAGGAATAGTGATCTTAGCCATTTAGGGTGCCTCCTAACCTTTCCTACCTCTTGACACTGGTTTGGATCTTGTTTGGGGGGACATTCTAACTCTTGATAGCATTATTGGACATGTTTTCTGCTTCTGTTTCTGTTTCTGAAGATGTAGCATTCTGATTAGCTAATATTGACTTGTGTTTGTGTGTATATATGCATGTACATGCACCAGAGTCTCACACTCCTGCTTAGTTTTTTTTTCCCTCCCAAATCTGGCATTGTACACCCTGAGCTCTATCTTCACTTTCTGCTTTTTTGCTTAACTGTAGATAAGATTCTCATGGACTTTCTTGCCCAGCTTTTGAACTACAATGCTTAGATCTCAGCCTCCTGAGTAGCTAGGATTCCAGAGTTTACTGGCACTTGGCTTCTTTACAGCTCATAAACTATCACTCCTTAAAGAGTCTGTAAACATTATCTGATCTATGCTAGGAAATTAGCTCATCTTTCTTTGATAGGGAGTTTTTTTCCAAAGCTTTCAGAAAGCTTTGAATATTGCTCTGGACAGTAATACCCAACCTGATTACAGACAGACTTCCAGGACAGTTTTAATTAAACTTCAGGCGATTACTTAACAAAGGGTTTTTTTATTCTTTTCCAACATAGAGGCAAACAATTGACAACTATGTCCAGAGATACTAGGTGTTTGTTTTTGTTTGTTTTTGTTTTTGTCTTTGTCAGTTGTAGGACTTGAACTCAAGGCTTCAGCACTAACCCTGAGCCTCTTTGTGCTTAAGGTTACCACTCTACCACCTGAGCCACAACCACTTCTGAGAGACTGGGTGTTTCTATATCCATGTTGATCTAGAACTGGTTTTTGTTTTTTTGTTTTGTTTTGTTTTGTTTTTGTCAGTCGTGGGGCTTGAACTCTGGGCCTGGATGCTGTTCCTGAGCTCTTCAGCCCAAAGCAAGGGCTCTACTACTTGAGCCACAGCGCCACTTCTGATTTCCTGGTGGTTAGGAGGAGATGAGAGTCTCTTATGAACTTTCCTGCCCAGGCTGGCTTTGAACCATGATCCTTAGATCTCAGCCTCCTGAGTAGCTAGGATTACAGGCATGAGCCACAGGCACCTGGCTAGAACTGTTGTTATTGTCCAGGAATTGTTGATACTTTCACAGCCATGTGAAAAGAAGTCTGGCCTAAGATAGTAGAAGTCTGGTCTTTATTCCAGCTGTTTAGAAAGTGAGCCAGAGCAGGGCACTTACTGCCCACTACTAAACCTTAGCAATTCTGAGGTTTACGGCTGTTTTCTGAGATTCCTTTCTAGCTCCAAATTTCTGAGTACCTAAATAGAATCAACCTCTGTCTCCTCCTCTGCCCCCATCCTTTTCTTCTGTTGCAGTAAGAATACAAGCCCCATACTTGGTGAGAAAGGAAGAAGGAAGTTGAGAGCCAAACATATTTTCTTCCCCCTGTTATAGAGGAAAGTAAGTTTCTTTTAGAATCTAACACATGTTTTGTAAGGCTTTTGCAGAGGAAATAAGAATGAGAGAAGATACTCCATCCTTCTAAGGTCCATCATTTATTCTCCAATCTGTTTTTGGACTAATGAGTCAGAATCTCTTCTTTCATACACCTGCATTTGCTTGGGGCCTCTAAAATGGTTATAGAGGAAAGTAAGTTTCTTTTAGAATATAACACATGTTCTATAAGGGTTTTTTTTTTTTACAGAAGAAATAAGATTGAGAAAAGATAGTTCTTCTAAGGTCCATCATTTATTCTCCAGTCTGTTTTTGGAGTAGTGAGTCGAAATCTTTTTTCATACACTTGCATTTGCTTGGGGCCCCTAACATGGTTAGCCTGACGATGAGTGGAGTACATTCATGCACAACACATTTACATATGATAGTTTGTTTGCCTTTCGGGGGCTGTGTCAGCCTGATTCTTTGGATGCATATATGTATGATTGCAATTAGGGAATGTGTATGCCGGTAGCACCGAGTGAAAATAAAATAGTGCATAAATAGTGTGGCAGGTGGAATTGTGTGTCCCCATGTGTATGCACAATTCTTTTTCTTTAAGCCACTTTAGATTGTCGCCTCCCCTTCATGTCTGTGATTGATTTTGCCAGGCTAATGGTGCGTAAAAGCACTGGTGAGATCTGGGGGCGCCTCCTAGGCTGACGTCAGAGAGACAGTTTAAAAAGGGGGGAGACGGTGGAGAGTGCACAAGCTTCTGCAGGAGACGCGAGGTTTCCAGCCTCGCTGCAGCCTGCAGATCGGTTCTGCGCCCAGAGTGTGACCACCGCTCTCCAGACCGGTTCCTCAGGCAGTGACACCATGCTGTCCTGCCGCCTGCAGTGCGCGCTGGCCGCGATCTCCATCATCCTGGCCCTGGGAGGTGTCACCGGTGCGCCCTCGGACCCCAGGCTCCGTCAGTTTCTGCAGAAGTCTCTGGCTGCTGCTGCAGGAAAGCAGGTAAAGAAACTTCCTTGAAATCTTGTTTTGTTTTGTTTTACCTTTTCCCTGCCCTCCCTTAGCAGGCTCCTGCCCTCTGAGTTTGAGCTTGACAGGTGTTTTTATTTTAAGAGAATTTCAGTTCTTTCCAGACTCCTTCAGCTCTCACACCTCCCAGAGAAACTTTTCGAGTCTAGAATTGCCTGTGTACCCCTTTCTTTTCTGATCGGTGCAGAAGATCACAGTTCCGGTGAGTTTTTTCTTCCTGACGTTCAAGAAAATTTGAAAATCGGGCTGATGGAGCACAAAGAAAAGGTAGCATCTCTCCTGGGTGCTGCCCAGGAAAGGTGCTGACCTGGGTGCTGAAGTGTGATCTTCCTTTCTTTCTGGACTAGGGGTAAGGGGCACTGTGCAAGACAAAGCAATGTGTTTGTGAAAATGGTAAGATCCCCACTTTCTAGCTCATGATGTGGACTTTATAAAACTGTTTGCAGACTCTCTCTCTCTCGTTCTCTCTCTTCTCTCAACAGGAGTATAGCACTTGCAGCAGGAATATAGCAACATTTGCCCTTTTGAAGCTTTCAAATTATCGAGTGATTTATAGAAACTTCCTTTATTTTTTAACCTTCATTGATTTTAATTGTCACAAAAACACAGTTGTGAAAACCATACCAAAGTATGACTCCAGGTGCTTCTATAAGGGATTTTCCATGTCTTTTTTCATCCTCCTTCACCGCTCTGTCTTTCCCTTTCCCTTCTGCCCCATACAGGAACTGGCCAAGTATTTCTTGGCAGAGCTGCTGTCTGAGCCCAACCAGACTGAGAATGATGCCCTGGAACCTGAAGATCTGCCCCAGGCTGCCGAGCAGGATGAGATGAGGCTGGAGCTGCAGAGATCTGCAAACTCAAACCCAGCGATGGCACCCCGAGAACGCAAAGCTGGCTGCAAGAATTTCTTCTGGAAGACGTTCACATCCTGTTAGCCCTTCTAATCATAGTTGCCTACATCAGACCTCCCAGTCCCTCTCCTCCAAACCCCATCTCTCTCCCCCAAATCCCCAGAGTCCTCAGCAAGACCCTTGAATTAGAAATTGAAAACTGTAAATATAAAATAAAATTATCATGAAATTATGGAAAAACAGTGACTTCGTTTCTTATTGAGTAAATCATTCTGTTCAGTAATACATGACGAACGTGAGTTGTGGTTTTAGTAAACTTACTTCAGATACTCATGCACACCAATTCTCACAGATCTCTATTTAAAATTTTTTTGGTAGCAATGTGGATTATGTTTCAAATGGTAACTCTTAGAATCTGGGTCATTTTCAGTTGAAATAACTTCAATTTGCTGCATACATTTAAACTCAAAATCAGCTATAATTACTGGAAAGGGATTGCCACAAACAGCTACATAGTAAATCCATTTAAAATAATATATTGAGTTGTCAGAATGAAGATTAAGTGTTTCTGGGCAAGCAGAGTGAAATCCAGCATGTTGATATGTAAGCTATATAAATGACAGGAAAATCCATTTACAAATTGGAGAAAGAAACTGGTATAGGTACCTAAAATAAACTGTTAACATTTACAATTTGTTTCTTGTTTACAAGCAGTTATTCACATAATCAGCACTGGATGGTGTTATATCTTCTTTGACAATCTTCTCTGCAACTAAAAGTGCTAAATGACAATACCTGACTTAAAAGGAAGCTCCTAATTTTTATTCAGTGGGGAATATAACCTTCATTATTAGGTTCTGGCATGGGAGTTCTACGTGTTTCAAGAAACATTTGTGTGGGGGTCACCTCACTGAATGCTGTACTGTATCAAAGGTATCAGAAGTTAAAATCATTATGGCAGAATATCTGAAAGACATCTTAAATCTTATATATTTTATCAAAAAAAGAATAAAAAATAATACGTTATAACCAATAGTATTACACTCTAAGTGGTACCACTTAAGGCAAAGACAAAAACATTCATAATTTAATTCATGGAAAGAAATACCCTTATGATATCATTTTAGCTCCCTTCGTATTTATCCAGAGCTTCTGGAAGAATAAACAATATCTAAATATGTGGATTAAGTATAAATAGGCATCATATGAACTTACTGTTGGAATATATAAAAACCAAAGGGAATTTTACATCTTTTAAAATATTTGTGCTAGATAACACGTTTTTAATATGAATGCGGCTTTGTGGATGTTAATTCCCTAGCAGCTGATCAAACAAGAGGGAATAAAACCATCTAAGCCACTTTACTAATCTCTGTGAAAACAGAACATCATTTGAGGTGCCAGTGCACCCTTTATTTACAAGAATTTTAGTTGGGTATTAATGCACGTACATTTAAAAGATTTGTCTATGCTAAGTGCCTTATGTACATCTGGTTACCAACCAGCTCAGTGGAGTAATAGAGCCACATTATTAGTATTGAAGCATACAGGGATCACAATTTAATTGTTTTCCCAGTAGTATATATACTCTATGAGTGCCAGGGGATTTTTAAGTTTTGTAATATCATCTTTAGTTATCAGTTATTTATTAGGAGCTGGAAAATTCTCACTGTGGAAAATAGAATTAGGTAGTCACCGGCTCACATATATACTTAGCCTTCATTAAAAGCTTACATTGAATGAGACCTTTGAACACAATTACTTGCCTTTCAGCCTCAGTTTCCCCATCTCTGCAGATAGAGTGTTATATTAAGAGATCCTAGTGTCCTTGACAGATGTGATGGACTTTTTCTATTTTTACATTGATATGAGTGCTTAGGGAGTTATGATTTTGAGCCATTTAAGATTACATATACAGATTTTGTTTCATTTTGTTTTGTTATACAAAAAGTATAATTTATTAATTGTAAAGACACAGAGGAGTTTCAATTACATAAGTCAGGTAATGAGTACATTCTTTTTTGAAGTGTTACCATCTCTCCCATTTTCTCCCAATGGAGGGAATAATTTTTAACTTCCTGTTTAGTTTGGGTTTCTTGTATTCTACCCACAATGACCCTTTCAGATGTTTTTTTTTCTTTCTTGTTACATGCTTCAGTAATCTTGAGCAACATGTTATTTCTTTCAGTGAGAGAGCCTGGACACTGTCCCTAGGTTTTCTGCTCAAGGCTAGTGCTGCATCACTTGAGTCACAGCTCCACTTCTGGATTTTGAGGGAAAGTAAATCAAAGATAAGAATCTCAAAGACTTTACTCCCTAGGGTAGCTATGAACCACGATCTTCAGATCTCAGTCTCCTGAATAGCTAGGATTACAGGCATGAGTCACTGGTCTCCCGCAAAGAAGAGAGTTTAAACTCTGGGATTAGGGTTTGATTTTGTAACGTTTTTACAGGCATACTTTCCAAGAACTGTCTGTTGTGTTTCTTTTCTCATATTTAATATAACATTCATTTTACTAAATGTATGAATGGAATAAATGGAAATAAATTAGAATCCCAGGTTTTTCCTTTTACTATTCCATCTCTCATTCACTGGCTTAAAACATCTACAATCTCTTGTCCCTAGTTTTAAGTGAACAAGCAATGACATTTGTCTCATTTATTACCTTGCAGTAGCCATATGAATGTTTCCAAAGGTTCATATGCTAGAAACTTGGTCCTTAGTAAAAGTACTGGGACAAGGTGGATCTTTAAGAGGTGGGCCATGATGGAAGGAGATAAGTTATGGAAGGGATTAATGCTGATATTTGAAGTAGATGGTCCCACAGTCATAGGTTAGTTCCTGTGAGAGTAGGTTGTTATAAAATAGTGAGGATAGCCCTTACTTGATAACTCTTGCTTCCTGTCTCATCATATGACCTTTCTCTTACATATAGTCCAGTTATGTGATGCCACTCCTTGTATTTTGACAAATTCAGGAGACTCACATCAGAGATTGAGCAGATAGAACCTACAGACCTTGAGCTTTTGGCCTCCAAAACTGTAAGAAAACTTTCTTCTCTGCAAAGTACTCCCCTTCTGGATTCCTTCCCCTTCCCTTCCCCTCCTCTCCCCTGCCCTCCTTTTCTCTCCTCCCTCCCTCTCTCCCTCCCTCCCTCCCTCCCTTCCTTCCTTCCTTCCTTCCTTCCTTCCTTCCTTCCTTCCTTCCTTCCTTCCTTCTTCCTTCCCTTTTTCCTTCCCCACTTCTTTTTGTTTTGAGACAGAACCTCATTTTGTTGCCTAGGCTGGGTTTGAACTCATGATCCTCCAGTTTCAGCCTCTGGGACAGCTGGGATTATAGACAGGAACTGCCACACCGAGCATATTTTCCTATAAACAACACATAATGAATAAAAGCATGTCCTTCATCCTCTGGTTCTGTAGTGATATCCTTTGAAATACTGGCCTGAGGCTAAGATTTGATGTCCTGAAATTTTTTTTTAATTTATAAATGAAGCTAACTTTTACAAGCATTTGTACCACTCAAGTTTATATGTTTCTCAAGAGTTTCTGATAGATGTTTTGGGTCATGTAAGTAGCCACCTCATTTCTATTAGATTCACATAGAAAGTACATTAAGATGGTGACATGGTCATTGTGATAAAACAGTATTATTAAAATCAATAATATCTTAAGGAAATTCAGGCAGTTCAAATAGGAAAGATAATGCACTTTGAGATAATTGCTGCTTAATTCTAATTTTCCTGTATATAAAAAATGGTAATGTACATTTTCATTTCTAATGTTGCATTAAGGTCAGATGGTACATTTGCTGAAGGAAAACATTAAGCTCCCTGGAACTGCTCTCCTTGGGTAGCAATTTATTGACTCCAAGATGCACACTATGAGAGCAAGACTTACAAACTTAACTAGGACATAGTTCTTTCTCCCTTACTTTTCCATCCATATTTGCCCACTCATTCACCCACTCACTTCCACAAACTCTGCTGAAGGCAATGATTTTATGAGCCTTCTCATCACTCTCTTCTCCATCATTACTTTCATTTCTTATTACATATGGCTGAACCCAGTGTCTTTGTGAGTAAGATCTCTAAGCAAGCTCTATAGCCTTAGATAGAATTATTTGGCTCTCCAGCTCTTCATTTCATCTGAATTGTCAAGATCTTAGCTAGGGTTCACATATTTGCCTTTGCACTGGGCAGATATCTAAAGTTGCTGCTGCTGCTGCTGCTTTTTCCTTCTTTCAGTTTTTCTTCTCTAATATTCATTCCACTTTATGACAGCCATGTCCTAACTAATTTTGGCTAACCACCTGTCTGTGTATTCTTAGTCAGTTAGATTGACTTCATTTTTAATCCAGGAATGATATTAGAACTAGAATGGATTAGAATATATCATCCTTGTGCGTAGAGATTAATTCATGGCTGACCATGATCAATCCTAGTATAGTACAGGTCTATTTTTCAGTATAGTTGGGATATCTTTTTCACTCTTCATGAGGAAGCAGGCTGTTCCTGAAACCTTTTGTCAACTATGTTGGAGGTCTGTGCTTAGAAAGAATAGTGAAAAAATGTACAATCTCTAAATCTTTAGTGGTATCATGTTCAAATGCAATCTGATCTTATATAAAAAAATCTCAACATACTTATCATACATATGCGCTAATAAATCACTCTATTCATTACAAGCTGGGTAAATTTTGCTGTTCTTTTAGTTAACATTTATCCTATTTTATTATTTTCTTGGTGTGTGATGGTGATGGAACCAACACATGCTAGCCCAGGGCTCTGTCTATGAGATATTCCCCTAGACAATTTATACCCACACTCCTGGTATCTTGTATTGTTAGTTTTGCATGTATATAAATGCAGAAATGGATGCATGTACCAACTTAACTACTTACATTTATTAACTTTCTAAATAAAACAAAAGTTCTGAGACTAAGAAGACTAGACTTGATTAGACTTCATGTCTTTCAGAATTCCCAGCATGTGACTGGCATATACAAGCCAATGCTTTTGATAAAAGAAAAAAGAAGAGGTGATTATATTTTTAAAATACTTTTCAGTTTATAGAACTACTCTGTAATTGCTATCTCATTGAATCTTCACATATATTGCATTTGTGTGTGTGTGTGTGTGTGTGTGTGTGTGTGTGTGTGTGTGTGTGTGTGCAAGTCTTAGGGCTTTAACTCAGAGCCTGGGTGCTGTCCCTGAGCTTTTCTCTCAAGAGTAGTGCT